AGGAGGTTCCACCTCAAGTCAACTAGAACAGAAGCTTATATTGTGCAAACCAATCTATGAAATGGGCATGTGTGCACAAATTCATAACCAAACACATTACCGGGAACCTGACATCTGAATGACAGTAGAATGAGATGTGCCAAGGTGGCAGGTCACATCAAAGTCAAACTTGATCATACTGGCACCTCACTGTGCAACATCAGCCACAGGCAGTGAAAACACCCTGAGGTGGAGTGCAAAAGGAAGAACCATTGCCCCAATCAACATTATCCTCCAGATAAGACTGTTAAGAAGCTGGGTGCAACATCAACCTGTGGGACCAACTGGACAGAGGTGGAGATCTTGAGTCGATTGGTGGAGCTCTAATCCAAAACCACTCACTGGGAACTAACATCCAGATGATGGTAGGATGAGGGATCCCAATCACAGGGGTGAACTGTAATGTGATGGATCTACTTCAAAGGAATATCATCCTCCAGATAGGACCACATGAAGGCTGGAGTGCAATAGCAACTTCCAAGTCCCACCACATGGAAGTAGATTGCATCTATAAAATATAAGTGACCTCACCCTCTGAATAGAACTGCACAGAAGCGGGGTGCAACATCAACCTCCAGGACCCACCACACAGAGGTGGAGCACATAATTGGAGGGTCACACGCCATCTTCACCAACAGCACAGCACCACCCTACTCTCTCTACTGAATGGAAGCAAACACTTTCAAGAGGACTCCTCCTGGGTCCACCACCCCAGTAGCTCCATATTGGAAAGTGGCAAGGACTCCCATATTCCACTAGAAGAACAAGGGGGATAAAATACAGTGGAGAGTCCTGAGGAATGCCAACACTGGTTCCATTGCAATGGGTGACCATGAAAACTATATTTTGAAAAGCAGACTGTCCCTGATATATTCAATCAAAGAAACAGCAGGAATGGACAGCTATCCCTTTCTACTTTGCCCATGTACGTCCATGGGTTAGTATGGTCCTAAAAGCAATCTTATGGAACACCCCATCTCAACAGTGTGCATTATAGGCCATGGTATACATCATGGCCATACAGTGCAGATTTGAGATATAGAAAGCATACCTGGACATGCAATGCTCACCACTGAGCAGGACTCTAATCCTAAATTGCAAATTCCTCTGGAGGGAAATATATATATTTTTCAAAAGATAATTTACCAAGTCACGCCCGAACCAAAGTATGAAGGATGGCAACAGTTGGAAGGCAGTACCCTGACAAGAAAGAAACAGCTAACCAATGAAAATAGTGGGAGATGAATATATGAGGTGGAGGCCACATGCCTGACTGAATAGTTTCCTCCAATGGATGACACATGTGAGACTCCAGGAAAAAGGAAAGGTGCCTGATTGCAGAGTTAAGATATTGATGTGAAAAATACAATTATCTCTATTTTCACTTGATATGATTACTTAATATTATAAGATTGTATATTAAGTGATACTATGTACATAATTACATAACATTTTATCATAAGTATGCAATATATGCAGGCAAAAGAAAATGGAACAAATAGCCAATTTTGCAAAAGAAAATTTGGGACATCCGGGACAGGACTTAAATAAAGGACTGTCTTGGCAAAAATGGGATGTATGGTTATCTTAATCAGTGGCTAATTGAAAAGTTCTGTATGAAAATTACGTATTGGGATCTACAGGTAAACTCATTGGATTTATTGGAGAACCAATTCTCATTAAAACCAATTAAATGTGTCAAAAATCCCATTACTATAGGAACCTATTAATCAATTGGAATAGGAGTCCTATAGGAATTTCTACTAGGAATATTTTCGTTTAAGATGTAATATGTATGTGTCTATTACAAGTATTATGTATGTTTTATCAGAAGTTTTTGGTATGTTTGTATCAGAAACAGAAGGTATGCTTGTATGAGAAGTATTAAGCATGCTTGTATCAGAAGTAGTAGACATGCTATATCAGATGTAGTAGAAATGTTTGTATCAGAAGTATTAGGTATGTTTATATCAGATGTAGTAGAAATGCTTGTATCAGAAGTATTAGGTATGTTTATATCAGAAGTAGTAGACACGCTTTATCAGATGTAGTAGAAATGCTTTTATCAGATGTTGTAGGCATGTTTGTATCAGTAGTAGTAGGCATGTTTGTATCAGTAGAAGAAGGCATGTTTGTATCAGTAGTAGAAGGCATGTTTGTATCAGTAGAAGAAGGCATGTTTGTACCAGTAGAAGAAGGCATGTTTGTATCAGTAGCAGAAGGCATGTTTGTATCAGATGTAATTGGTATGTTTGTATTAGGAGTAAAGGCATGTTTGTATCAGTAGCAGAAGGCATGTTTGTATCAGTAGCAAGAAGGCATGTTTGTATCAGTAGCAGAAGGCATGTTTGTATCAGTAGCAGAAGGCATGTTTGTATCAGATGTAATTGGTATGTTTGTATTAGGAGTAAAGGCATGTTTGTATTAGGAGTACAAAGGCATGTTTGTATCAGTAGAAGAAGGCATGTTTGTATCAGTAGAAGAAGGCATGTTTGTATCAGTAGTAGAAGGCATGTTTGTATCAGAAGTAGTAGGTATATTTGTATTATATGTAGAAGACATGTTTGTATCAGAAGTAATTGGTATGTTTGTATTAGAAGTAAAGGCATGTTTGTATCAGAAGTAGTTGGTATGTTTGTGTCAGAAGCATTAAGTATGTTTATATCAGAAATAGTGTGAATGTTAGTTTCAAAAGTATTAGTATGCTTGTATCAGTAGTTAGCATGTTTGTGTCAGAAGTAGTACAAACAAGTATATCTAACACTTCTACAAAGAAACATATACATATGCATGTATAACGTAAAGCAATCACAATTTCCTGCAATAAGACATGTAAAATCATGATATATGTGAACACAAGTTATTATTATTAACATATTTTATTCTAAAGTTTAGCAATTTTACAATTTGAAAATAACTTCTGTCTGAGCACCATTTTCAGAATTGTGAGGTCATAAAATTAGGCACCAATAAAGAATTCCAACCGATATACTAATGTATTTGTTGGTGTACTTTGTGACAGATTTTCTTGTAGGCAGATTTTGTTAAACAAGACCGATGTTTGTAGGTTTACTTTCTTCTTAGAATTCTTCTCAAGAAGTCGATAAGCCGTCTTAACGTTGTTAGAACAACGGGTAAAAGTTGTAGCTAGTGATGAGTTGGCTGACGCGTTTCGAATACGAGAATTCTAAGAAGAAAGTAAACCTACAGACATCGGTCTTGTTTAACAAAATCTGCCTACAAGATAAATTCTTGCTAAATAT